CCTTTTTCAGTGGTCATTGGTTTGTGGCGCATAAAGAAATACTGAGACTTTTCAGTAAAGATGTAAACCACAAACTATATTTACATAGCAACAAACAAGCACAAATGGTTACAAGATGCACAGTACAGATTCTAAAACATAGTCTAGGCGCAGGGAGGACGATTGTGGTGTTGCTGGCCACCTCAATCCTTTGGTCCTTCCCTTTTTCAGTGGTCATTGGTTTGTGGCGCATAAAGAAATACTGAGACTTTTCAGTAAAGATGTAAACCACAAACTATATTTACATAGCAACAAACAAGCACAAATGGTTACAAGATGCACAGTACAGATTCTAAAACATAGTCTAGGCGCAGGGAGGACGATTGTGGTGTTGCTGGCCACCTCAATCCTTTGGTCCTTCCGGGCCTCAGGAGAGGAAGAGGCAGGAGATCCTTCGACGGAAGATGACAGCGAAGCAGGCCATATGACGGCTGATGTGCTGTGACCCGACGCTTTACTATTGGGGGGAGGGAGGTAACGGGAGTGAGGTGGGGAAGGGTAGGTGCTGGGACGGAGTACTCTGGGGTGACCCAAGCGACCCTGCTACAGGGCTTGGGCAAACATGTCCACCAGGGCCTCTCTAATGCGCACCACCTCCTGGCGCGCCTGGTGGATGGCAGCTGTGGCAGGCTGGTCCAAGGTCTGTGCCTCAGCTGCCACCCATGCAGGGAGGAAGGCCTCCCCACTGCGCTCCACAATATTGTGGAGCACGCAGCACGCGGCCAGCTCTCTCATGCGCACAGCATCCTGGCTCACCTGGCGGACGGCAGCTGTGTCGGGCTGTTCCAAGGTCTGTGCCTCGGCTGCCACCCATGCAGGGAGGAAGGCCTCCCCACTGCACTCCACAATGTTGTGGAGCACGCAGCACGCGGCCAGTACCTCCATTGCATTCTGCTCACCCATGTCGAGACAGGTGAGCAAACAACAGAAGCGGGCTTTTAAGCGTCCAAAGGCCAGCTCCACTGGGTTTCAGGCCCGGTTGAGGCGATCATTGAACCAGGCCCGGTTCTGGTCCGGCTGCCCCGTGTAGGGCTGCATTAGCCAGGGCATCAGGGGGTAGGCCGCGTCCCCAACGACGCAGATGGGCATAAGCACATTCCCGACAGTCAAGTCCCGCCGGGGGAAGTAGGTGCCCGCCTCCAACCTCTGAAACAGTCCTGAGTTCCGGAGGATGCGGGCGTCGTGTGCCCGGCCGGACCAGCCGCCGTAGATGTCCAGGAAGCGACCCCGGTGATCCACGAGGGCTTGCAGGACGATGGAGCAGTACCCCTTGCGGTTCATGAAATGGCCCGCTCGATGCTCCGGGGCCCGGATGGCGATGTGGGTGGCGTCCAGGGCTCCCCCGCAGTTGGGGAACCCGAGGGCAGCGAAGCCGGCCATGGTCTCATCGACGTCGCGCAGGCGGATGATTCTTGGCAGCAGGACGTCGTTGATGGCGTGGACGACCTGCAGAAGGGTGCAGAGAAACACAAGGGAACACATTACATACAGCCAGGGGTGAGTGTGCGCTCCCTTGGGTCCCCCCCTTGATTCCCTCTGTACACACACACACACACACACGGCCCCCCTCGCCCCACGCCCCCCCCCACCAGTGGGCCGGTGCAAGGGAGGGACGGTCGAAACCCCTGAGCGACCCAGCCTGGAGTCTTGGGTGTCCCTGGGCCTGGAGTGGAGCACCCTCCCCCCATCTCACTCCCCCTGGGACTTACCTGGATGACGATCACTCCAACGGTGGATCTTTCCACCCCGAACTGGTGTGCAACCGAGCGGTAGCTGTCCGGTGTGGCCAGCTTCCAGAGCACGATGGCAACCCTCTTGTTCACGGAGATGGGTGCCCGCAGCCGGGTGGCGGTTCTCTGCAGCACGGGGGTGAGCCAGGTGCACAGCATCAAGAAGGTCCACTTTCTCATTCTGAAATTCCGGATCCACTGGTAATCGTCCCATCGTCCGAGGACCACCCGGTCCCACCAGTCAGTGCTGGTCTCCAAATGGGCCTCTCCACAGTGGGGTGCTGATGCCACACGGTTGCCAGGACCTCCCTGGTGAGGAAGTCCAAGGCGATCTCTGCCTCCTGGTATGTGAATAGCAGGGCACCAGCCTGCAGCACGAACTCCAGGCACCTGTACAGCTCCAACAGGGGCCTGAGCAGGTACATGGCCACCCACGGCTCCATGGCAGACAGAGCAGAGCAGACAAAACAAAACGCTGGGAAAAGCTGTTGGGGGGCTAAAGGGTGGTGTCCCCAAAACTCACAGGGCAACCACCGACCCTGCGAAGTGTGCCAGTCCCTGGCAGAGGCCCCAAGGCATGGGAGCAGGAGACCAACGGCTGCGAGACCCCTTTAACCACACGTCTGGATGGAGCTCCGGCCCCGCCCCCGGAAAGGTCTGGTGGCCTTTGCCCTCTTCAAAATGGTTCCGGGCTTTTGCTTTTCTGGAAAAGCGTGCCGCCAATGTAGACGCGCTTTTCCGGAAAAGCGCATCGTTATCACGAAAACTCCGCGGCCAATGTAGACACTCCTTTTCCGGAAAAACTGAAAACGGAATACTATTCCGTTTTAAGCATTTCCGGAAATTCATGCCAGTGTAGACATAGCCAGCTTGTTTATTTCCCTTCTCCAGTTTAACATCTATGGTAAAATACAACAAACTTTAAAATGCTATGGTTTCAAATAACACACTGATGTTAGAAATTATGTTTATAGCTTTGAATCTGGAGGAGAGAACACCATAACTTGTAACCTAATGTTTGAAAACATAAACATATGGGTAAAAAAACTGTTGGCTCATGCTCCTAACATTGAGGCCAACCAGAGTCTAACTTTACGCACCTATTTTTGAAAAATGTTATTCTTGATATTTATTATGCTCTCTATTATCAAGTACAAAGAGAAGATGAAGTGAAAAGAGAGATTATATAACTAAAATTACAGACATATGAAACCAGAATGAACTCATAGTTGATGCATGCCCCAGGTCTAAATTTATACTTACGCTTGTCCTTTAAGAGTGTTGAGGAAAGCTTCAACACAGTGGTCTGGTATCTCACCATCGATACTAGCCAGGTATGTGTAGATAAATGAGAATGTATCAAATGGAATGCGAGCAGGTCCACCCGCTGGATCAGTTGTTAGAATTTCACAGGCATACTTCATAGAAGCCATTAAGGACTAGAAGGATCCCAACCAAGAAAAGAAAGACATAATACCAGAAGGCATTAGCATTCTTTGTTCACTATAATATAATATTGCATAAAAGACTGTCAGCTTCTGAAATTCATTGTGAATACAACCAAGACTGTTGTCTCCTTGTGAGCCCTCACTGTCAGGCTGCAGCAGTGGACACATTTTTGTTGTACATTTGCCTCCCCCCAAAAAAGCGTATGCATTTGCTGTTGACATCAGAGGCTGGCATAGGCTCCCAGCATCTTCCACATTTCTTGTCCTTAGGTAGGACTGGCATGTCTCCCCAAGGCTGAGTATACCACCCAAGCTATGAAACCAAGCTGCCTGCTTTGGTTATTAGTTGGTTTATTCGTTTTATTTTTATGTTTCAGTTTGACTTGGCTGTTTTTGTTTGCCATGAGAGCTGCTAGCAGCTTTTGTTTGCTTTTTTTTTGTTTGACTAAAGAGAGGAGTCTATCTAAAGTACTCAATTGTTTCTCATTGATATCTAAAGTACTCAATTGGTTTCAATTGCTTCTTTTTGATATGCAGAGCACGCTGAAGAGGAGAGGGCTGAGCTCTGTCTGTAGCCCAGGGCGGTGAAGAGGGAACTGAGGGAAAAGCAGGCTGAGAGCGCTACTTCAAAGGCGGGAATGCTACTCTCCACTCGCACATGCACAGCCCACCTGAGGATTGCTTGAAAGTATCCAATCTGTGGCGCTGGGACGAGCCCAACACCAACAATGAAGTACCCATGGGGACATCACTCAAAGAAGAACATTTTGTTAGTATAGAATAGGTCCTAGTGTAAATCTATACTCTTGTAAACAATGCCAAAGGGAAATAGTGTATCACTGAGCAATTAATTTCATCATATTAGACTGTACAGACATATGTCCGCAGCCATATTTACTAATACATCACCAGGTAAAGAAATTATCACTTTATCCGTGAACTAATATTTCATTGTATCTGACCTTGGGCTAGTGAGGGCTGTGCTAAATTGGCTCAGATAGCTAAAACTCAATGAATCTGAAACACAAAGTTTGTCTATTCTAAATGGTTTCTTTTTTCTCTTATTTGAAGCCAATGGCCGTTCTATTAATACTAGCCAATTAGCCCGTCATAAAATGGGATTTTCAGGTCTCTCCTCCATGTCCTATTCCCTTTCTATCTCACACTTCTCTCCTGAGCCTCCGGACTCTCGTTCCGTCTCTCTCTCTCTCTCCCCTCCTCCTACTGCATCCCCCCTCTCTCTCTCAGCTCTCCTCTGTCTCCTGCCTCTCTCTCTCCATCTCTCTCCTCTCCCCCTCCTGCCTCTCATTTTCTCTTCTCTTCCTCCTCCTGCCTCTCACTCTCTCTCCGCTCCATCTCTCTCTTTCTCTTCTCTCCCTCTTGCCTCTCACTCTCTCTCCACTCTCCTCTGTCTCCGTCGGAGAAGCACGCTCATCCAGGCCCCACCCCCTGGACGTGTACGTCACCGCCCCGCCATCCTTCGCCTCCCACCATGGCATTCAGCTGAGTTCTGTGCCGCTCAGCTGGACCGCCGCGGGGGAGCAAGCGGCCGTTTGGGCTCCCCCGTGGTGGCCCAGCTGAGCGGTGCAGAACTCAGCCGAGCTCCACGGTGAGAGGCAACAGTGCCCCCCAGAGGCAAGACTGTAACGCTAGAGAGTCACAGACATTGGGCTACTATATATATGATGGTGCACTTAAAATATAAAAAATTAAAAGGTAAGGAAGAGAGGGTTATTCTCCATGTGTAGTAACAGAGGTTCTTCGAGATGGTTGTCCCTGTGGGTGCTCCACCTAGGTGTTTGAGAGCTGCTGTGCTTCTAGTAGGAGAATTAAGAAAGCGGTGCCCTCAGCAAGTTGCACACGCAGGGAAGCAAGCACACGCCATTAGGAGCGACTATATCGCATGTGCAGCCAATTGACTCCTCAGTTCCTTCTCTGCTCCAGAACGAGATGTTCCAAAGCATAGAGGATGAAAGGTGGGAGGTGGAGGGATGTTCTTAAAGAAGGCTGTAGCAGCCGCCATTGTTCTCATGGAATGAGCCTGCACCACTGCTGGAGGATCCTGATTAAAACTGCGGTAAAAGAGGTGAATGCACTCGGAGAGCCACTTGGATACTCTTTGCTTAGAAATAACAATGCCTTGAGACCTTTTGGTAAAGTAAACAAAGATCCTTGAACACTTGTGGAAGGACCTGGTCCTTTCTACACAAAAGGCAATTGCTCTGCAGATGTCCAAGGTATGCAGAGCTGCTTCTCTGCTGTCAGTGTGGGGCTTTGGAAAAAGACAGATAAGTATATAGGTTCATTACAGTGGAAGGAGGAAGGAACGTTGGGAAGAAACTTGGGATCTAGTACATGGAGGGTCCATCATGAAGGCTCCAAGTTCACCCACCCAGCATTTCTGAAGTGATGGCAACAAAAAATGCCACTTTCATGGAGATACTTGAGTATATATGGGAGGATAGCTGATGTGGGAGAGATGGAAAGATCATCACACTATATTAAGAACAGGTGCTATTTGTGCAAATATATGATTTTCTCGTAGATGGCTTGGAGCAATTGAGAAGAATCTCCTGGATAGGTACAGAACAGGATGTTTTGACACAGGTCAGCCAGCAAGGAACCACAGATGAAGTTGTAGGGTCTAAGTCTTGGGGTGACATAGTTGTACGTCATTCTGCATGAGCAAGCAAGGGATAGGTAGAAAATGCTAATGAGATGCTATCATCATTTGGAGGAGACAAGGAACCAGGTTTGTCTGGGCCAACTGGGTGCTATTAGAATGACTGTGGCTCTATCCTGTTTTATTTTGAAGATAACATGGTGGAGGAGTAGGAGTGGTGGAAAAGCATATATGGGTGGTACGTCCCACTTTATCATAAAGACGTTCCCCAATGACTGAGAGTCAAGGCCAGCTCTGGACGAGTAGCATGGACATGTTGCTGTTTGCAAACAGGCCTATACTGGGGCATCATTTGGTGCTGAGTTCCCACTCATGATTCAGAGCAAAGTGTCTGCTGACATTGTCTGCCATAATATTGTCATTACCTGAAAGCTAGGCGGCTGTCAGATGAATGTTATGCAGAATACACCAATTCCATAGTTGTACCACATCAAAATATAGTGGGTAAATGTAAAGTGCTCTGCCCTTCTTATGAGCACTCATCAGTGGCTGAGGGGAGTCTTGTAGTCTCTACTCGACTGTCTGCAGAGAGGAAGTGTCCAGTATATGGCCTGAGACCAGGTCTCTTCTTTTATCCCCTGGTGTGGTTGTTGGGAGTTGAGGGAGGACCCAGGCCTGCCCACTCCTCTGGGTCCCAGCCCAGAGACCCTAAAAGTAGCAGTTACCTGCTGCATCTCAAAGTGATTGGTTGCTGTCACGTCCCTGGGCCACTTCTCCGGGAAGCTGCTCCATTCACCCCTTTCTCTAGTCTAGGGTCTTGTAGACAAGTTCCCCTGTCCAGGGCTCTGCAAGGATTGCCATTGGCTTCTTGGCTAGTCTTTAGCTGCGGGACCTGGTTCCAACCAGGGATGAAGTCCAGCTCCCACTCAGAGCTGTCCAGCGTGCTGATATTTTCCCAGTCAGCCCTGAGGTCTGTCTGGGTCGAGCTCCAGGAAGAAACTGCCAAGCCCTGGTCTAGCAGCTTCTTTTATATCAGCCTGCAGCATCCTGATTGGTTGCAGCAGAGGCTGCCACTCTGTTCTGTTTGGAGGACCTTTCTTCTGCTCCTGTTGCTGGGCAGGGTATAGAAAGGCATCCGCAGGGATGTCGGGGCCTTGTCCACCCTATTACAGTAAGAATGAGCTCTGGTTTATGTAATACATTGTTATAAGATTGTCCGTAAATATTTGAATGGTTTTGTTCTGAATCAAGGGTAGAAAGCGTTGACATGCTTTGCAAACTGCTCTGAGTTCGAGGAGGTTTATATGTAGTTTGGACTTCTCTTGAGACCAGCGTGCTTGGATGGAGTGGTGATCAATGTGGGCTCCACACTGAATTAGAGAAGCATACGTGGTGATCATCACCGATCGAGGTATAGAGCGGAAAGGCACTCTGCTGCAGGAGTTGCCCTGGACTGTCCCCCAGGAGAGGGAATCCTTTATTTTGGAGGGCATAGTAAGGCATTTGTTGATATGGCGATAGTGTAGTCTGTAAACTGTTCGTTGCTATGTTTGTAGTGGCCTCATGTGCAGGCAAGCAAGCTGGACTATGAAGGTGACCAATGCAGCCCTTGTACAAATCAGCAATGGAAAATTAGACAACACTCTCTACAGAAAACCCACTGACTCGTACAGTTACCTACGTGCTTCCAGCTCCCATCCAGAAAACACCATACGATCCATCATCTATAGCCAAGCCCTTCGATACAACCGCATCTGCTCTAATCCCACTGACAGAGACCAGAAACTTCAGGGCTGCAATAACCAGTTTGCATAATCTATAGCACTCATCTGTGGTAATGGTATTCCACTCTGGATAAAAAGATGCTAGTCTATTCCCAAATGGTGTGGGAGTGATCAGATGCTATCTTTGAGATTTTGGGGCTCACTGACCCTCAACCAACCCTTCAAAAGATTTGTCTTGATGTTGGAGGGCTAAGGAGTTGACGCATGGCCAACAGGTTGTCTGCATCTATTCCGAAACTGCTTGCAGCTGTTATCATATTGCCTCTGCAGCTAAGTGAAGGGAGTGGCTTTGTAGTTCTGATTTAAAAATCTCACTTGTTTTCTCTTGGTTACAGGAACATGTATACCAAGGATCTTGAGAGAAGACTGGGAGTCCTTAGCATGAGAAGGAAAGCATCAGTGGATTTGGAGAAGAGCTTAGATCCTTCAAAGGGCAAGTCTTCTATGATAGCCTGGACCTCCGTGGGGAAACCAGACAGATGTAGCCAGGATGCTCGTCGCATGACTATAGCAGTGGAGATGGATTACACAACTGTATCTGAGGAGTCTAGTGAAGCTTGGAGCACAGCATGGGAAATAAATGC